GGCTCTTTATATTTCAACTGAAGAGCAACTGACGAGACAATGACATTCATGGGGACAGAAGGGCATCTTATGGTGACCAAAGGCACTTATTACGAAATAATAGCGGTTAAAGAGGTTAAAAAACACAACACGCAATGATTCTTACAACCCTCTTAATAAGGATACAAAATATGTATTTGACCGGTCTTTTAACAAGTTTAATTGTGTAGGACAGGCTGTGCCTTAGAAGCTGATAATAACCGAAGGCAAGGCGAGGGTAATTGTCAGACATACTTGCTTACCACGGACCAAGCACAGTCCCTGTCATATCCTTTTCAGCCAAAATCCCCCACATTTTCGTACCTATAATTTCGCGTTTTCGCCATTTTGTGCGCTCCTTTCCTATCCATGATGTTTACAGGCCATATTACCATTGTTGGAGATCAATGCACATCAGGCCCCCAAAAGTCTCTGGTTTCTGGTCAGCGCGGGCGTCGCCGTATACCTGCGCGTCGGAAATATATTAAAAAAGTTTCTGTTTGGTATGAAACGATGTCCCAGAGCTGCCAAACGTGCTTATCGACTTAAATCCTGCTAATGTGTAATTTTAACGTGTTGTTAATGGGGTACGGTTGAGTAATACGTACAGTAAAGGAGTCCCTCTAGTTCCCCGTACATTTAGTTGGGCACTCTTTTTCTGATGACGTAATTTCTTCATTATACATTTACATCTGGGAACCAGACAATCGAGGTGGTCTTTTGTCCTGTGGATATATACGAGCTGAAAATCCTTTTGAACAGTAAAAGTGCGGGGGCCAGTCTATTTTAGTGTCAGTAGGGGCCGGTGTTACCTACGCATGCAGTCGCGATGGACATCACGCGTTATTTTGTTTATTTATGTCATCTTTAATGAGGGTAAGCTCTGATCAGTGATAGTACTGCTTTCCATGGAGGTCCTCAGATTTACAACGTGGGTAGAAGGCTTACAAGAACGACGCAAGCAGCCACCAAACGGCCCACGTCTGTAGAGAGGAGACATTGAGAAGCAGTTACAGTTTTAGAGGTGGGAAGAGGACCACCTGGGACCACCCATGAGAATATTCTGGGTAACACCCATGGAATCAGGTAAAGACTGAAAACCCAATTCACATGTGGACCGAGCCGGGAATCGAACCTGGACCGCAGAGGTGGAGGGCAGGGAAAGAACCACTACGCTAGCCTTACTCCACCTATGATGTTATACGTACATCATTTCTAAAAAAAGAATTAAAAAAGGTTAAAAAAAAAAGCCGCGTCACCGCACCACTTTTGGAGCCAACTCTTCACCAGAAACCCGAGACTTTTTTGTTGGCCTGACACATTAAATGTCACAAACGAGATCGTTGACCTGACTAAAAGGGCCATTTATTGCCATTGGTGATTCAGAGGGTCGTTCGTCAAGAAATAGAAAACGCAGCGAGAAATTTAGAATTAAAATTAAACTGTATTTTTCAGTACCACCAAGACAGAAACAATACTCTCCATGGACATCATAATCAAGCTAAACCTGACCATAATTGTGACTAATAAAAGAGACTTACTTCCATTAGTTGTGTCATTTTCTTTTTCAACTTTTCTCAAACTATATGTAGTGTTACTCCGTGCACGTACTTATCCTTATACAACAACATTTCGTTTTTAAGTCAAGATGTTAACATTTATTGCTCATTTTTGAAACTCTTTAAATTGCACTTCATTCATATATAAATATTTAATTATAGCATATTCTTTTTCTTTGTACTTCAAAATCCACCCACCTTCGGTGATACTTTAAGGTGATTTGATTAAAATAGATACATTTTGAAATTGTGACGTCAGCCAAAGTACCGGTACGTAATGCAGCGTAGTAGTAGAAACAAATGTACGTGTATGTGGTTCCGTTGCCATTTCTGTAGCTGGCTGGTGTTTTATCAACCGTTTAAAAATCGGCCACGTGTCGGGCTCTCGAACTAGAATTTTTTTGTACACAAGACGATTGGGAAACTCGAAATAAATAATAAAGGTCATAATCGTGGCTTTGTAGCTTTATTGTATAGAGGATTTTTTCCAAAGGGAAGTCTTAGATTTCAACAGGGGAAGCCTCCACTAAGCGTGAAGACTAGTCTACTCTCAAGACTGGTAATAAAACAATTTTCCCGTTGGAAAGTTCACGGTGTATCCCCAGGTAGTCATATTATAAAAAACATGTCTCTCGACAAGTAGAAATGGGTATATTGTCTCAGGTATTTACACAGGCGTCCTTTAACCATTTTGAACAGGGCGGTGCTATCCCGACCGACACACAAAATGAGTGTAATGGTGGTCTTATTCTCCAACCAAACACTTACGTGACCTCCTCCCCGTCTTTTCCCCTTGCTTCTTTATGTTTGCTGATGGCATCATGATTTTGCCGCCGAAACTGACTCACGGGGCTGTGACACCCCCAACCCCTCCAGTGACGCTGTGTGTATTTCTGAATGCATATACATGTAGTTACATACCTCACACAGAAGCGAGTGACTTAATGCCAATGGTCCTACCGTAAGCATTAATGTCAAAACTAAGACAAACGAGCAAGGTGTATACAAGTTCCTGAAAATTAATGAAATTGACGGTAAAACATGGACTACGGTGGTTAACAATAAGAGCAAAGATATTTTTATCATTAAATTTCCACAGACCCGAAAATAAATTACGTTCCTTGCCTTCTGTGGCAGCAGGCTGTGGGCTTATTTCGAGTGGTAGGTTCCACATACAAGTATTTAAAGACGGTAAAACACTTAAAGAACTTCGAGTAACAATAGAGCTCACTTAATGCTTACGAAGCATTTCTCTGTGACCGCAACTGTAAAGTAACCATGCTTAAAGAAACTATTGATATCTAAATTCTGTCTGAAAGGTTTATATGTGTGCAACATTCAAGCTACAAATTTGATGCTGAGAAATGTAAAGCACATTGTCTTCATTTAAGCACAGTGTCTTCATTACAAAACTCAGTTTTGTCAAAACAAGAGATGAACCCAACCGTCCTATTTTTGAATTTGTCATTTTTGAATCTTAAATTGCAATCGTGGTTGCCGTATCTATGCCAAGTTACATTTTAAAAAAATGAAGATGAAAAATTTGAGGTAAAATACAGCTTCACCTCATTACCTGTTGTAATGGAAGTTTGATTTTGATAAAAGGTATCACGACTTTGTGTATACAATTTGAGGTGATTTCGACGGTGAGTGTGCAAAGAAATTTGTGTACGAAACAATCTCACTTGATCATATTACGAGTGCTGCCTAATTTAGGATACTAAAATAATTACTTTTATTGTTGATCTAGAAGTTTTGCAACGTATTACAAATAGTTTTGTTTACGTACACGAGTTTAATATAGAGACCGTTTTCCTTAAATACTATTCATAATCATATTTACTGATTAACCATACTTTTCCAAATATGCATGTTGAGACGAGAAAGCGTGCACGTGAGAGGGGTTAATTCCCCCTCTGTGTTGAACAATAAGCCGTGGTCGGTGACTGAAACTTTCATAATGTTAATTTGAACACTGACCAATGACTGAACCACTGCATATCCGAATGCCCTTATAAATAAACCCGAAACAGTGGTTTATCCTGTGCTTTAAATTAAGCCTTACGTACACCTGCAACTCTTGAATGGTCAGCATTTTTTCACAATGCACAGACACCGAGCGTATTTAACACAGTATTGCAAAGGAGGAACCCTATATGAAACAAAATACTGGAAGAGGTCGGCAAACCAGATTTGAATTTAAATGAGATCCGTTATACTATTTGGTTGTTAAGGTCCGTATCTCCGCGTCATCTGTGCAATTTGTAGCTAAAAAGTTTCTCATCTTGACGTATCGAATCAGCTGGGTTCGATGTCTGGTTTATGATATTTCCGATGACTCAGCTTGATGTACAGTCTCAGGCGAGTCTAATAACCAGTATGTTGTCATCTCACCTTTCCCCTAAAGTCAACAAAAACAAAAGCCTCAGAAGCTATAGTATCACGCAATCTCGAAGGGGAAAGTTCTTCCTACACATATCAAGTCTTGCGAACTAAATATTTTAGTACTCGACATTTCCCACCATAAATTAAAACCGTGTGGATTTTCCAACACGTTCTCGTGGATATATTTTCCAGCCTTCCTCCTCTATTACACCAGTAACTGCCGCCCATCTACCAAATGCATAAGTGCATGGTCAAAAGAAAAAAGAAAGCTGCCATGTGACAAGCGGATGCAATGTAGACGGAGATTAATCAAACTCGAACTACAAAATTCACCCCACATAACCGGACCGAAATTTCTTGGATTGACATTTAAACGAATTTCTGCAGATTTACCTTGATATCCAAAGTACCTCGAAGCGTTACATAAAACTTCCCATCCTCTTCACTGTCGTCACATTGGAGCAAGGCCCCCCGCGTAGCTTGACTGATATGAATCCGTCCAGCTTTACAGGCAAGAAAAGAACATAATATGAATTTTAAAAAATCGGATGTCTACAAATCTAAAAGATGACACTGTGCGCAATATACGTCAGAAGGATGGGACGAAATGATACCCCTCTAATAAAGGCTCAGGCTGTCCAAAACGTGCATACACAATTCTGTACATTCTGTGTACAAATGTAAACATTGGATAGAAATGTATAATAAGGCTGACAGTAATATTGTTAATGCTGAGCACTTGTTTCTTACCTCCGGAAAAGACATGTGTGATGAGACAATTTTAGAGTTTGTTGATTTGTTGATTATTTGATCAAATTGATGAAGTAATTACTTTTCATCACGTCAACGTGAACCTTTGGAATGTGACAGGTGTTGCTTTATCAAGAAACTAGTATTCTAGGGAAGTTTCGATAAAAAAAACTTAAAATCGATGGGTCTTCTTGTCCTTAAAAAGACAGACCGAAAAATGAGTCCTTCAGTTTCAAGTTGATGGAAATCAAATGTTTTAGCCTAAGGCTTACGTATGTATTTTGGCGGAAAAGATACAAGCTTACGCTGTCCAGTAGACTCCATTCGAGACGCCGTGTTGATTGTATCTCCGAAAAGGCAATAACGTGGTCTTGTTGATCCAGCCACACCTGCGGCGCACGGACCTGAAAAAGCAAATCAGCTTCCCCTCAAAACTGAAGCTATTCTGCCTAAAACTTGTGTTGTAATTAAAATCAGACTACTTGCATGTCAAACTATACCCGCTATGCCCTTGTAACGCTACACAATTCACTCGGTCTAGAAAGTCATTTAATGTTTAGTTATATTTATTAAATGTTCTACCTGATTATTTTACTTCAAGCAACCAAGAGAAATAACTGACATTTTTGCAGTCCAGCGTCATTTGTGTAGTAATAGTGTGATTACTTCTAACTGTTAATATTAAGACCAGTGTCGAACAAACCAAAGGTGTAAACTCTTGTTTAGATAACAGGTCTAGAATCACAACAGACACAGCCCTTCAATAGATGACAAACATATAGGGGTTCGAGTCTTCCAAGAAATGGTCTGTTATAGTTTTACCAGTGTGAATCCCGATGCGAAGCTCGAAGGTGTGGTCAGGTAAGTGCGGGATGTGGAAAGTAGCTATTTCGCGGCGGATTGCGAGAGATAGCCGAGCCATCTCTGGCGCGTGCCGACTTCCATTTCGCCGAGGCGCCCCTATGAGTCAACAAAGAATCATTCAGTGGTTTACAAGTTTTCTGTAGACAATGCTAATGGATCTTTTTCACTAATACATTCATAATTATGTAAGTTTCAAAAATGGCTGTGGCGGCAAAAAGCATGAGAAGCCCATTGAGAATGTGTATAGAGGGATATAAATCTTTTACCTTCAGATTTTACCGCATTTTTACGTTTTTTCCGCAGAAAGCCCTGTAGAATTATCACAGCTATTACTTTTTTGTCTATTTGTAATTATTGTTATTTTAGCACAAAATATACACTTCAAAACTTTCTTTCGTTCCAAGCGCACGAGGGTCGACAGAAATCAGCAGGGGTCCTTTCTGCATGAACATTAGCCTAAAAAAATACCTGTGCGATTCAGCGGGTGCCAAATGGTTCTCCAAATCTCGGTTTCGACACCGTTCAAATTGTTGACTGCATTTTACCCTCTGACTTCGAAGTTTTAAGCTGCCTAAAAACAGCACGTGCACCAAACGTTATCTTTATTGGTGCATGGCATCCCGAATCGGTTTTTTTTTTCATTTCACACCATTAGAAAGGAGCCTGTAATTTCTTTTGACCTCATGCACTCGGGGCGAAAAAAAAATTAGGATTCTTTATTTTGTATATCACAAAACCCACTCAGACCATATAGCTATGGCGATACTAGAGGGTTTTCTGAAGTCAGAAGAGGGAAATGAATGAAAGAAAATTACTCTGAAGTTTGTACCAATATTTTTAGTGACTCTTTGTCATGACCATTTATGCACATATATGCATTAATATGAATATATTAGTGAAAAGGTCCATTGACCCACCCTCTTTTCATTCCTGAACTCATGGTAGAGTATCATTTATCAAAATAACATTTCACAATGATAACATTTCATAACATCTTCCCAACAGATACAAGCTCAGCTTCACAGCTCACGGTATCAGCCAAATGTGAGACTCAAGTCCCCAAAATAAAAGCAAACTTTCAATGACTTTCCGTGCGAGTTTATAATGTTCATGTCATGTGTCATTATCATCAAGAATAAGATGTGGTGTGACCACATTCAAAATGCCCCAATCTTACTTTCTGCCTTCTTTTTGTTCATCGTACTGTGTTCAAGTAAGTCGAGTTGAATCGAGCAAAATACTCAACTTTACCCGACGTTTATGCCTCATTGCTCGACTCGATTCACTACGTTATAATGACTCGACTGGAGTCACTACATTACAATAACTCGACTCGACTAGAGTCACAAAAACTAGTGACTATTTACAACTCTGATGCTTACCCTTCAATCTAATTTCCTACTATCTATTTAACTACTGACTTTACGGAGCAAACATGTATGATTCTCTCCTGGGTTAGGAAGTTTAGAAAGTTGTCTTCGGTGCTGTTGTGTTTCAAAACTGACAATAATCATAAGTAACTGTACCTGACACCACCATGTATGCGTCCCCAATTGTCTCAACCTTGTACACATCGTAGCGGTCGATCAGAGCGTCCAAGCATTGGTACAAGGTATTAAGCATCACTATTACCTAGGGAAGGAAAAAAGACACAACTGAACTCTGCATGATGCGCGAAAATTCCAAAATCTACACAGAATTGGAGGTTTGAAAAGCTGGGGAGTGGCTTTGGGGCCATGTGATCAGGACGTGCCTTTATGAATAAGACGTGGTATTTCTGTAGTACTATTTTTCGTGTGATGTATGAAAGAATGCGCCTGTAACTTCCATCGTTTCTGACAATAACACATCCTATTTACTTTAAAAACGGTATAGGATGCCTATTGGCAAGAAAGCACATAAATTTAACAGCTATTCAGTAGCTTTTGGAAGGCCATAAACATTACTTACTTGTTATTTTAGACGTTAAAATTTGTAGAAAATACAAAAATGCAGAGTGTTATACACAGACCCTCATAAAATTATTCTCATCATAGTCATAAATATTTATTATGCGTATGACATTCTTTGTTTAACAAGGTAGAAGCTTGAAGACAAATGCTCACAATATACTAAAGACAAGCATTGTAAAAAGTTTGGAAATGCATTATTAGAAATACCAATACAACGGGGGAATGACCCTCAAGAAAAACACCCCGATGATAAATATGATGAAAGAAGCCTGACTGTTGTGTTGTGACATCTCTAGATTGTGGACTTGTGCACTATCTATTTTACACTTTTTTGCTATTTCTTTAAAACCAACTCCTGTCGGGTGGAATTTGCATGTGCGGGACGAGTTTTCGGGCAATTATCAATCTTTTTCGTTTTCAAAATTTCAAAAATTCATAATTTCATTTACTGGACGCTGACACCCACACGAATGATAGGCAACCTTCATTGGCGCCCGAGCATTGCAGCCAGACCTGCCGCCCCTGTAAAGAGAGCCCACATTGTGCGGTGTTGCGTAATTTCCTTTGTTCCCGAAATTGGCCCAGCGCGTTGCATTGGCCCAGTGCGTTGCTGAATGCAGTGGTGTCTTTTCAAATGCAGAATTAGCATGCAGCGGTGCGGTATCGCTCATCGCTGGAGTTGCTGCAGCACTTTTGTCCCTACTGGTAATCCGCGGGCGCTGAATGCCACAAACAGTGGTATACTGTTTCAAAACAATGACGGATTACCTTCACTAATCCAGTACTCTGCGCTGAAAAATGTTGGCAGTTCCCAGCAGCTCGGTCTTTTGTTCCGAGTACGGTCTTTTGTTACAAGGCCCAGATCCTTTGTCCGATTTCGGGTACCCCGGCTATGCGTACAAACCCAAGGTCTTCGGTACCGGGAACCCCGGCACCGAGTAGTTTTAATCAATCTTGTTCAATCATGCCCATTTTGAGATTAACAACACGAATGCAATTTCTGTTGTCAAACTCTGTGCTTGTCACCAGTATAACAACATGTTCGAACTGGAATCTAATTTAATCTACGGAGGACATTATTAAGATGATGCACACGGTAAAGAGGTGGAATCTCAAACGAATACCGGCAAAGATTACGGCGATTCTGAATTAGAAAAGAAATTAGGATAAAGATGACGAATTAAAGGGGATCTAGTTCAGAATCGGAAGACAATGTCACCTACCGAGATTTCGATCAGGAGAGGCCAGAGAATACAAAAAAGAAATGTTAAGTGAAAAATGTGACAAATACTTCTCATCAAATGTCTGGATGAAGATCAAGTCGGGAGAGGGCAAACAGGAAAATCTTCTGAGAAGTCAAGCAAGTCTTTTTGGTAAGTACAAGGAATCATTGTCAAGTTGACTACATGTATGTATGGTAGGATAATGAAAGTTATGAATACGGCAAGAAAAACTGCATGGAAGTAAAAAACCTTTAGTAATGACTAAATACCATTTTTGACTAAATACCATGTTTAAGTTGACGGAGTTCCAACAAAGTAACGAGAGGATCAACCAGGCAGATAGCAATGATTAAAGACTAATAACAAACTTCTGTACTAAAAAAAACTTGGAGTAGGCCTAGTGCCTTTGTTATAAAATAAATAACTTTGGTAGTCATTCTTGCAGTAACCCATTGTTATTTCCATACTATTTTATTATTTGGAAAACAGCCAAAAAAGAAGGCGGAGACAGAGAAAAGAAAAACAGTGTTTGAACCATTCTATGTATTTTGGTGAACCTATGTCTAGTGCATGCTTATAATTGATTAGTATCAATATCATTCAATGATATGGAGTTCTCCATAAGTTTGAAAAATCCATGTTTACATTCGCTAAATATGGGATTATTTTAAGTTTATATATATACATCTCTTCCCACATACGCATAAATGCACTCCAGTAACCCTATTTTATTCGAATTTATTCGAATTCGTGAAACCGGCAAGGAAAGGTAACGTCAGCTCGAGTGATTACACCATCTTAAGAAATCCAGCTACTTCTGTATCGATCAGATTAACTTCCTAACAATAGTACACTGACCACAAGCTGTTTAACTTTCGCATGCCCGCCCTCTCTTGTCTATTGTGTAGGAATTATTTACCCCACATTCCCCTTCGATGTCATTGCATCACCACTTGCAGTACGTTAATCAAATAGTTCAACCTGTTTCTAAACATTTAATACGTCTATTTTACACGTTGTTCTGTCTTTCCTAAAGAAAGGGTCAAACTGTGCCGAAATTTTCAGCTTTTAACCTATTCCATATTCGCTTTTACCCTATTTCTTTAGAAACATCAAAGTGTGCCTGGAAAAGGCCCCCATCTACTGCCTTGCTGACTAGAATTTTCGTCCCGTTTAGATTCAGTTACAAAATCAATCTGTGAGGACATATTAAGGTAACATATGCATTCGATTTGAAAATACTTTTAAGCATTACTGCAAGCCTTACCAATGGGTTTTGTCATCCTATCATTCTGCTTCCTTTCTGGTGTTAATCATCTCCACCCTTTGTACAATGTTCCCCTCTGCAAGCCCCCGATACGCTACTGCTGTCAGCTGGAGAACTTTATTCTTGCTGTATCCTGTATGGGGCTACTTAGCTCTGGCTTTTGCTTTTACTGTTCGATATTCTATATCAATGATTCGGAACGGAATGAACAAGGACTAAACAACGGTGAGAGTTCGAAAGATGTGAAAGGTATAAAACACGAGCTGGTGTTCAATGTACGTGTTCTGTACCTACATAGCTTACCATTCAACCTGGTTACCACAAGCTATAGCTTGGAGTAATACCGAAAGAAATAGTATCCAGTTGTTGTGTTTGGGGTCGTACAAGACAAAGTGCAGATTCCAAAGAGAAAGGGATCAGGTTCTTCAGATGTCCCAAGTGTAGAAAGCAGTGAATCGAATAGGTACAGTACATGTATACTACATTTAACGTCGGTGAGCTACGAGTTTACAAATGCACAAGTTGGCTCCAAGAACACTAACGATGTAACTTACACTCCTTATGATGGAAGGGGGCCATACTGTGAAACGGCGATCTCTCTTAACCGGCGTGTCCCTGTTGCAACCACTTTTTGTCTTGATAAAATGTGAAAATCACGTTAAAGAAAATTTTGTAAAAGGTGCTAAATGCGTTTCCTATTGGTATTCATGTGATTTAATCACCTTAGATTCATACGTATGACGCTGTTGCTCCTTTCTTGAACATTTTTTTAATACCCAGCAGCAACGTTCTTGGTTCGTTTGGGATCGCACTCTGCATCCGTATTACTCACCATATTGTTCCGTTCTTTAATCACGTTTTGAACACATAGATGAAACGTTACTGGTCCGTTCTTTCCTTCTTCACTGGCCCAAGCTTCCACAGACGTTATTGGCACGCTCTTTCGTAACGTTTTGCACTCCTTAAAGTTATGTTATTGGCTCGTTTCTTCTCTGTTTGCGCATTTAATTATCACGTTATTAGTTACAAATACGCATCCTTTCGAGAAATTGCTCGAATGCGAATGCACGTTCACGAATTTGAATGCTCTTTACACAAATTCGGCCGGAAAACCTATATTTCAAGAAAGTGAGTACGAGGATGTTTCTCTGACATACTTTGCTGAAGTGTTTTACACACTGTTATTGCTCTTGTTTATTTATTTCACATTAAGGATTAAAAATGGCGGCCCAAATGCCAAAACGTTTCAATCTACAATAAAAGACACATACAAATGAAATTCATGTAAATACATGTAAATCTTCAAACGTTTAAAATTTAACCTTGTATAACATTAACAAACTAAAAAAGAAAGCAAATTCTAAAAGCCACATTAGACATTTTTTATATAATAGAGAGAAAAAACTGAGCGCATATGTCGTTCCATTAGGTATTTTGTGTTATCCGCGTGGTACATGTATTTGTTAGTATCCTAACAGGGTCAGACTAAGGAAGACTTAGATCTGTCTGATCTAGAATTCCGATAGGAGGCCTTTGACGGCGGAAATATATTCCGATGCCTATCTGAGCACAATATTTTCCCAGGGCTTGCATGATAAAGTGGTTCGTCGATATCAAAATGTTGAAGTGCAAAGATTTCGAAGCATCGGGTAACGTTCGATAGTGAAAACCAACAGCAATATCTTACATACCCGTTTTTTGGTCTCACTAGTGCCAGGCATTGCAGTGGGGTAATAGATGTAGGCCAAACCTAGTTGTAAACGGGTCACTATAAATTTTGTGGCTCAAATAGGGTCTTGTCATTTTAATGTAACGACTCGAGTCGAGTCGAGTCAAAGAATGTCGAGTTGAGTCGAGTCCAAATATTATTTTAGTTCGCGTCAATTCGACTCAAGATAAAAAAGTATTTTGGGCCGTTTTTATTCACATCTGTTATGATGCTAGAGTTGGTAATATCACATCTTACTCTTCATAAATATAAGAAGGGTGCCAATGATTGCCATCCAAACTTTAATCCACAACACCAAAACAGAATGTCATATTTCAAACCAAGGCATATTTTTTGAGAAATTAGGGCATAAATTTAGCTGGCGATCTATCAAGAGTCTAGTCTAATAAAAACAAAACTTACCAAGACACTGATAAACTTGCGAGTTGAGAAATACATCTTAATTTAAGTCCGGTTTTGGTTTAGCATTACACGCTACAGAAGCACAAGGTGGGAGTCCGTGACAAGGTGTATGCTTGCTGTACCATGGAGGAAGGACAGTAGAAGTTGACGGCCGCTAAATAGGGTGTGCATCAAGGATGCCGTATTCGGGACATGACGTGGGCACGAAAAACCGGCATAGGAAGTCACTGCATAGCTGTATTTCTCGCAGAACTGTTTTCTTTATGGGACTTGATTATTATTAACTTTCCCTCGAGTCCCTTCTTCTGATAGGGGGACTCCTGTCTAGTCATTTGCTCCCAGCGACTCGAATCGTGTCATTTACCCGTCAGGACTCGAGTCGAGTTGTCGCCCGATGTTGTGACTAGAGTCGGACTCCAGTCACAACTCCGCATGACCAGACCTGGCGCACTTACACTAAAAAGATAGTTCGCACATAGGCAGTGAAAACAGCCGTGATGTCCTCTGTAGACACACAAACTTTTTTCAACACAACAAAGGAGAGCTTTCGGAACAATATTTTCTATGTGAGAGGACCATTTCTAATCGTTAAGATTACAACACCAAGTAACTTTATACATGGAACCCAATTCGAACATTTTATAGCTGCATGATTTAACTGATAACAAAATATTGAAAATCGGGTTGCTTTTTGTGGAAAGAAGTAGCCTAGTTTGTTGGTATTTGACTATAATTGGATCAGGTTTTAACTTGTTGAGGAGTAACTGCCATTGATTTGATTACGCGGTGGACAGGTGAATGTAAGAGTCGTACCTGAATGGGTGTGCTAATAGCAGACATTGCAGTGAAGTTGGCCACATCCGAGAAGAACACCGTCACTTCGTCGTAGGTCTCAGCGGTAGTCTGTCCCGTCAGCTTGAGCTGCTCAGCCACCACCTTGGGCAGCATCTGATACAGCAGCGAGTCCGACCTCTTCTTCTCTTCCCGGAGCTCCAGGGTCTTGCGGTGTAGGGAGTCCCCCACCCGTTGGATTTGTTGAGTCTGGTGGATGATGCCGCGGATAATCAAGGGGCCAGTGATGAGAACCGTGGAGAGAAAGAAGGCACAGGCCACCACACTGTAGATGCCCCCTCGCATGTCCGAATCCAGCTGCTCGATGATGAAGTCGGCCAGTTCCGTTTGCAGGGTCATTAGGTCGTTAATGTAGCTGGTCATATTGTTGAACCACATGTCACCTTTGGACAATGACGGTGACAACATTTCGTGGTTGTTCAGGTATATTTCGTCTCGCATTTTAGCTATTTCAGCAGCCAGCCCACCAGTAACTGTGCCCGAGTACGCATCGCGAAGTGAGGGTGAATATTGGAAGGATGTCTCCAGTAAGCTCCTTCCCATGATACTTACGTTCATATACCAAAGGTAGTCTTCAATCAAGCCATACCCCCCACGAGAGAAGAATGTAGACCCCAGAGCTCGCTCCTTTCCTGTCTGTTCCTTAGCCATCAAAAGTAACTGGTAGGTTACCAACTTTGTCCAGAGTTCACCCGATGACTGCTGGATCCCTTGTAGGTGCCAACCGATGATTGTCTCTATTTCACCCGAGTAGAACCTCATGACGTCGGATATGGTCACGTTGTTGTTTGACGAGACAACAGTGTCGCGGAAGGCATCCAAATATGCCATGTAGATTTCCTTACTACTGAATTGGCCCGGCGTGGAGTCAGATTCGTTATCATAGGCCCAAGTGATGCTCAGGATCGTAAGATTTGTGTCGTTGTATATACTTCGCAGTTTGATAAGTAACTCTGGGTCTTTCAAATAGATGTAAAGGGAAGAGATGCCCCTTTCAATCTGTAGGTGATGGGCCACCTTCCCAACATCCTGCACACTATTGCCGACGTTCGCACGCACCCACTGGAGTCGGGTGTTTTTGGCGCCTGAGTCTGCCATCAAGACTGCCGCTAAGATGGCCAAGATGGTGATGGGAATGAGTGTCATGACCACCATAGCCCATAATTGTCGACGCCGCTGTATGGGCACACTATCCCTTTTTTCATCTGTCAAGTCCACGCAAGACAATACAGTCGCACCTGTGGGGTTTGGATGCACCTGCACATTCCTCATCGTTGCTACTTGGTGCAGTGAGACGTGCCTGCCCCTAGACGGCAACCTATTACGACAGACTGTAGGAAAATCACAAAGTGGACGAACGCGCAGTGCGAGAGAGCCACGGCTACAAGAAAGGTTTCAGCCTACCGGCCAATAATATGTTGAGAAATGAGACGGGCATTGTAGAAGTGATGACGTCATTTTTCCAAATTCTACAGAGCCTGCATTTGACCTAGGGACAGTATTATCACGGTGTTACTTATAGCAGAATAGCATCAGCTGCATTAGTTTAAATTATGTCCACTGATTTAGGTGGAAAATTCTCGCTATTTAGAGTTTGGTAGATTTCATATCCGTTTCGTGCAAAAGGCGTCGATAGTTAATTATCTGTTTGTCATTTCCGACCGACCCTTATTTTGGCTTCAACCAAGGTAGAAAATAATCACTTTTATGACACTAAACCTGTCTGGAATTTCTTTCCAAGAACAATCTCAAGAATTTCCGGGGGAAAGCAAGAATTTTTCCCCACCTTTCTCCCCGACCAAATGACTGACCCTATCTTGAAGTTAAAAAATTAGAACTATAAAATTAACTACGGACCGCCCTGTAATGAAGCCCTTGTGATGAATGGCAATGGAAATAAAATCACTCATCAATGATTACAGAAACTCCAAATCATAAACTCCATTAATGTGGGACTACTTCCAAGGCCCGTCATTTTATTTGGTTCTTTTCTCCTGTTCCCCCTTTATTTTCGGTGGGAATGATTAAAAACCAAACTCCCTTTTTACTGTGCAACTGTATCGCGATATGAACTACGAAAATAACTTTATCCCTATCTCGTACACAAGACCTACTGTATCGGCAGAAGAGAGGGAGAGAGGCTACTGGTGCTTCAGCCTCATTGGTGCCCTTCCTTTCACTGCAAATTCAGGCGAAAACTGGTCGCAATGACTCCGCGAAATTCATGTCCAGAGCACCTATAGCAGCAGCTGATAACGACAGGGTCAAGTAGGGCAGTCTATAATGTCGCTGTGCTAAAACTCATTCTCAGGTTGGAGGAAAAGGGTGTGCCATGTAGAATTAATAAGATTGCTTGAAATTTTATAAATTATTTTCACATTGGAGACGGCTGAACGGTGAAACCCCGATCTCCTCCTGCCTCCAATTAACGAACGTTAATTATTTTTTTGTTTTAAAATATCAGCATCAGCTAAATAGTTAAGGCACAGTTAAAGTATTGGTCATGCACGATAGCCCCACTACTGAGGCAAATCAAGTTTTCCAGTAAAAGATTAACTGCGGAGGCAGTTGGTGTATTTAATATTATTGATGAAGGAGTTAGTCTTATTCTACTCGTATTTTCAGAGAGTAATTGTGTAAAAGCAGAAGTGGTTCTTTCCCTCTGATTTTATTTGTTATTCAATCGTTGCTCACGTCATGCAGCAAATAAATGTGATACGAAGAGAATAAGGTTTTATACTGGACACAACAGTGGTGTGGGCTTTTATACATCTACAAGAATGTAATCCTATTTGGAATCGTGGGGTTGTTTACAATGAATTAAAATCCTTCCTTTTGGAACATGAGAAAACAGCAGTGCTTTTTGCGGTGGGAACAGAAAATGTTCTCTTTGTTAGGGACTGGAAAGGCTAGCGTCAACCGTCCTGATGCTGCCGTGTCGTACTTCAACACTTTTTGTCAATTTTCAGTTAGATGGGACAGAAAAACAACACGAGCACGTTGTTCGACGCAGAAGTTGTAATTAAGTTCGACTCTGCCGTGCTAAACAGCAGTTAAATTGTGTGACGTCAAGTGCCGTGCCATTATCATTTAAAGTCAAATTAAGTTCGTTCCTTGGCTTGATCCAGTTGGAATGCGCACGCATATAGCTGCATAATTAATTTACACATCTACCCTAGGGCAGATCCAAAAGTTTTCGCTGGGAAGAGGTTCGGGAAACATTTGTTCGTTCAAAAGGAGGTTACTGCATGTATACGATGATGAAGCCATTTCATCTCTTTGTTTTATCCTTAACTATATACACGCAAACTAGAACCTCTACATGGTTTATGTTTTTCAGGGGTATTCCATTTTTCAGACGTGCCCCCCCGCAAAAAATTAAATTCGACGTTTGAAACCAGTGCACACTCCCTCGAACCTTTGCCGCACTTAAATGAATTACATTCGATAGGGCAAACAAATGCGTAGTTTGACACAGGTCTAAGTTACCGTACTCCATCGTAATGTGTAATTCTCGCGTCGTTAAAATTGCCTTAGAAATTCTGCGAAGAAAAAAAAACAATTTAGTTCCTTATTATGGCCATCACAAAGGGGGCTCTGGTGATAGGCATGGAGATGAGATGTGAAATTGAGATGGAAATGTATCTTAAAAGGTGTTTACACTTAGTTCACCTTAATGCATTGTCTTACGGAAGATGTTAAGAGCTGTCGAGACACCGCAAGGTTTAACGAAATGCGCACTGTATTTCCATAGCAACGTATTTCCATGGTAATAAGGGGGGATTTTGCTTGATTTTTTTCCAATTTCCAAACCAAAACACTCATAAAAAAGACTGTTAAAAATCACTTGTACCTCCATGGGAACCGACAGAAATCCATAAAGATCGACCCTCACTAATATTTGTCGGTTTCGGGGCCCAGTGCTGCCAAAGGATGATGTTTTCTCCCAAAACCTCCGTTCATACTTCATGATTTTGTGATAGACAATCAATGCATTGTTTGGACTGCCAAGTCCTTGCATTTTTATTAATTTAATTTCTTGTTTGCGTGCATTGTATTTCCAAAGCGATTCTTCATCATACGTCTTGTCATTATGGGCGCACGATGGCTTGTGTGTTTATGCAATGCTGCAGCGAGAACATTCGTGCCAAAGAAATGCTGCAATTTAGATGTTCTTCTGTGTAAGTGACGGAAACCCGATAAGGCCGATTTCTAAAAAGAAATGGCCATTCTCAATGATTTCCGTCACGAGCTTTGCTGCATCGCGCATGTGGGTTCTTGAACATCTTGTAATTTCTATTTGGAATTTTAATATGTTTGAATCGGTTCTAGCTCGATTCACATACATTTACAAGGAAAGTGATTTGCAAGTAACCACGTCATGTATCGAGTAATTTTGAAGAGCAGTGGAAGTAGAATATACATGAATTGCATGTCTTAAAAGAAAACTTAGAATGAACCGTTCGTTAACTCCGTTCAAAAACTCTGACTTAAATGGCCTCCTCAAAAGCTTGTTGGAATCCATTAAATCCATCAAGAGCAGAAAGTCCGTCAATTCAAATCGACCATTCACTCCTACTATCCGCGGTTATACATTTTAGCAGCCGCGAACAACCTAACGGCTTCAGTAAAATCTGGAGACGTAGTCACAAAAGAAGGAAAAAAAGATAGTTCGATCGAGCTGGCTTGCGTATAGTATTTTGGATAAGTGAAAGGATGAGTGTTGAGGATGTCCATGGTTTGAACCCACAAAGGGTACTCTGGCCTTGAGTTTTGGGTTATTCTATAGCGAAAACGCTCACTCCAACACATTGCCGAATTGAGCCTTATTATTATCATGACATCCACAATGCATAATCCCATAATATATTACCGACGATTTTCAATAATGGCATTTTGGTTTAATTAATTTAAAACCCCTTCGCACCGGGAGGTGGCTATAGCCGCCGTAAAAATTGAGATCCTCAGCCCGCTTTTCAGCTATTATTCTCGGCCCACGCTCGAGCGAACACGGTGAAAGAAGGCGGATCCTGGCTCTTGTGTATATGGCAATTGTCTTTGTGTGTAGCCCAGAAATGAAAAGACCGATTTTTCATCATAATCACCAGCTTCACAATAGTCCCCACTTTGAAAAGAGGCAACGGGAATGTGGAAGCTGGAGTAGAGCCGCATGCCACCGAACAATCAGCCTTTTCACCGTGTAATTCAAAGCGTGCAGAGCACGCTGGGCCACAAACCAAGAATTTGCGGTTTGGCAGTTGGCCTTCGTGGCCAAGCGAGGCTGGAATTCTTGGAGACGGCTTTCGGAAAGAAATTCCCGCCGAAAAGGGCTTTTAAAAAGCATCGGTGAGTAAGTGGATCGGCTAGGAAACATTCCTCATTTGCACTCCTTTTATTTCGTTGTTTATTCCCAAGGTTTTCAGGCGAGTTGCAGGCCTTGACACAATGGACCAATGATTCTGCTGAATGGTTCAAGGTTTTCCCAAAGCCTCAATGATTTCATTAAGTGCATCAAGTCCAACATGTATCTGAATCATCTTGACCCATTCGAAGAGAAAAGGCTGAGAATTACATAGAACTGTGTATTTGGGAATGAACAACGTGCAATCTCTACTACTTCCAGGAAAGGCGTGCAAGAGATGCAGTGACGTAAATTTGTGTGGGTGTGGGGATGGGGAAAAGTGGGGGGATGACTTGCCTGGCCATGGAAATTTGAAAGGCGGGGAGGTAGATACACCATATGACACTATACATGTATAGGGGGCGATGCTCATGATACATACGTAAATCTGTAATGTGTGTTACAATCATGCAGAATCTTATCAGAGCGCCATATTTGTGGTCTTTTTAAAAAAATTATTTTAGATCTTTTAGAGTGAGACTGAACACATTTGTTTGTTGGGTAAGCCCCCCCCACAAAAATATTCACAATC